GCAGTAGTCATCCGGGATCGATCCGCACAGCAGGCTCACGTTTCCCTTTTATCACTATCTTGACTTGTGTAGGCTGCGATTTCTGCAGAGCAACCGCAGACTGTTGCTACCCATCCACAGCGTTGTGTGCCTGATTACCTTCGGCCTCTCCCTGCCTGTGGCCATCAGCCTGTTCCCCCAGATGTCTCAGGTACAGTAAAGCGTTGGCTCAAAGTGCTTCTACTGTAGATTCAAGGCCGGATGGCTGAGGGAGCAGCTGGGAAAAAATTCAAATTAGACATACACCACTTGACATGCACAGCCCCGGCCCACAAGCTTGTATTCACCTCTTATTCCAGATGTCTCTTCCCACGTCTAATTAAAAGTCAAATTGATCTTCAAGGCAGACTCAGAGAGATGTAGAGCAAAATGTTTTTACCTTCAGGCTTTACCTTTTTTCCTCTTTCCAGATTGAGGTGTCTTGCCTAGAGCCGGAGATCGCCATGGCAACGGACTGCAAGGTGGTGACCTACAACAAAGGTTTATGATGGATGACATGGTGTGGAAGAGGATAGGACAGGGAGCGAGGATGAAAATGAGGCTGCATTGTGAATAGCTGTCAGGGAGAACGTACAGTAGGGTTCCTCCATTATAGCAGAACCTGTAGATCGTCATGTGCTTGTTTTCAAGAGCAAGGAAGGAGCTCTGTAAATAGAAATAATGATATTTACTGTAAAATCTGTTTTTTAGCATTAATACAATTATTTTAATATATAGTATACAGTGTTTCCCACTTATAGGCTATACTTTGGTGCCCACTCGAGTATAGTTATGGCTGCTTTTTGACCCAGTGACAAAGATTTATAAATACACTTTAAACTTGCAATAATGTTTTGTTCAATGGCAACAAGCACTATACACTACATTGACATATTATCACCTTGTGATACGGCAAACTTGTTAGCAAACAATTGCTTATTCACACATCAAGCAGATACTGAGCGACATGGCATTCATCTATGTTCACAAGCTAGTCACTAACTTTGCCTGTCTGCTGTTTGGTTTTAAGCAGGTAGCTCAGTGTTTTTTGTTAATAAAAAAAAAAAAAAGCCTTTTCTGTAAAAACTGCTGACAAAAATGACCCTGATGAGAGCTGTGAGAAAGAACCAAAACAGTGAAGTTGAGGGCTGTTTAACAAAAAAGTGAAGTGAAAGAAAAATAAAGATGTGGAGAGCTGAGTGGAACTGCAGATTCAGGCAACTTTGGGTTCGTCTTTGCAGTGACTCTTTTCACATACAAGTAGTCACCAGACCTTTCCAGAGGAACAGCACATGTTTACATCAAACAAAATCCTCTTTTGTGAACTCAAACACAACTTTAACACATTTTTTTTAAACAAACAGCTGTATAGCTGATTGTCTTGGAAGTAATAGGAGGCTGTATTGTCAACATATTAACATTGTTGTACTAGACAGGAGCTTGTCCACGGGTTAGACACCTTCAGTAAATCAGCTAATACTGGATTTATCTTTACTTAAGGCCAGTATCTCCTAAATGAGTAACTCTCCATTTTACCTTGTGATCCATAAAAACAAAGCTATATCTGCCAGTGACTCTTTGTCACCATATACACTCACCTAAAGGATTATTAGGAGCACCTGTTCAATTTCTCATTAATGCAATTATCTAATCAACCAATCACATGGCAGTTGCTTCAATGCATTTAGGGGTGTGGTCCTGGTCAAGACAATCTCCTGAACTCCAAACTGAATGTCCGAATGCGAAAGAAAGGTGATTTAAGCAATTTTGAGCGTGGCATGGTCGTTGGTGCCAGACGGGCCGGTATGAGTATTTCACAGTCTGCTCAGTTACTGGGATTTCCACGCACAACCATTTCTAGGGTTTACAAAGAATGGTGTGAAAAGGGAAAAACATCCAGTATGCGGCAGTCCTGTGGGCGAAAATGCCTTGTTGATGCTAGAGGTCAGAGGAGAATGGGCCGACTGATTCAAGCTGATAGAAGAGCAACTTTGACTGAAATAACCACTCGTTACAACCGAGGTATGCAGCAAAGCATTTGTGAAGCCACAACACGCACAACCTTGAGGCGGATGGGCTACAACAGCAGAAGACCCCACCGGGTACCACTCATCTCCACTACAAATAGGAAAAAGAGGCTACAATTTGCAAGAGCTCACCAAAATTGGACAGTTGAAGACTGGAAAAATGTTGCCTGGTCTGATGAGTCTCGATTTCTGTTGAGACATTCAGATGGTAGAGTCTGAATTTGGCGTAAACAGAATGAGAACATGGATCCATCATGCCTTGTTACCACTGTGCAGGCTGGTGGTGGTGGTGTAATGGTGTGGGGGACGTTTTCTTGGCACACTTTAGGCCCCTTAGTACCAATTGGGCATCGTTTAAATGCCACGGCCTACCTGAGTATTGTTTCTGACCATGTCCATCCCTTTATGGCCACCATGTACCCATCCTCTGATGGCTACTTCCAGCAGGATAATGCACCATGTCACAAAGCTCGAATAATTTCAAATTGGTTTCTTGAACATGACAATGAGTTCACTGTACTAAAATGGCCCCCACAGTCACCAGATCTCAACCCAATAGAGCATCTTAGGGATGTGGTGGAACGGGACCTTCGTACCCTGGATGTGCATCCCACAAATCTCCATCAACTGCAAGATGCTGTCCTGTCAATATGGGCCAACATTTCTAAAGAATGCTTTCAGCACCTTGTTGAATCAATGCCACGTAGAATTAAGGCAGTTCTGAAGGCGAAAGGGGGTCAAACACAGTATTAGTATGGTGTTCCTAATAATCCTTTAGGTGAGTGTATACGTACAGTATATATGTACCAGTTGTGCACAGTTCAAAAACATACATATTTTTTTTGTGTCTTATTTAAAGAATTTTTAGGCTTAAATAACTTTCTAGTAATTTCACAAGACAAGATTAAAGCATGTAAAAAAATCCATCATTTTGTGGAGCTGAATTTTTTTTCCTACTTTTCCAACCTGTTTCTCCTGTTAATTAATTGCAACCCCTCAAATAAATCTTGTGACTCCTGGCAGTGGTCCCAAGCCCCAGGTTGGAAATTTGTACTAAATCTACAATTCTGCGGGCGTTTCAGAGCCTGGCCAATACTGGATTTCTGAACCGATGATGATATACAAGCCAACATTAATTTCTCTACATAAACACATATAATACACAAACATAGATGACAAGCATCTCTTAAAACTGGTTAAGAGTTTTGGTTGTACTGCATTTAACAGTTGAACAAAAATCTCATCAGTGCTGCTGGACAAACTAGAGAGCAAATGTAATGGAGAACCTGTCCCTAAATTATCTTTGGCATTTCTATTTTACAATTTCTTGTTTACTTAACAGCCTTCAAAATGCGCAGATACTGATATATCTGCAATAAGCTAATATCTGCTGATTTACTGTATCTGTCAGCAGCTTTGATAGATATCAAAATATATGTCTTAGAAATCTCAAGGAAAACTCAGCACAGGCTGCAGTGCTGATATGTTCTGTGTAATGACATAACAGGGAATTTAATCACTATGGAATAATTTTGCCAATGTGAAGCCACTCTGTCAGTGGCTCTACTGTCCTGTGCAGACTGTGCTGTATGTGTACTGTATACTAACTTTCTCTCCTAACTTGTAGGACGGACATTTTACTCCAATACTGACTGTTTCTTAAACCACTGTTGTATTCCTAATTAATTACTTCTTTTGTACAATATAAAAGTATAACCTATATATTATACTACTGATAATAGTATTTTAAATTCTTTGTAAAACACTTAGACTTTTTTGTTTGCTAGTCAAACAATGTAAAACATTTATCTGTACAATAAACACTTTTTCTGTTTACTTTCCTTGTGAAGACTTTATTTCCAGACATGTCAGTGAATGTAATTGGCACTCTTCTTCAGCTGTTTAGTGTTGATAGAAGATTGTTTTCTTTAGTTTTTATATGCCTTTTAAATTTGATCGGTATTAGTAATAGTAATTTTCAGTACCTTGATTGATATCCCTTTATAGCCCTTTATTTAATATTATACTGTACTGCAACTTATTGGACTGGGAAAGTGTGTTTTGTAAAGCTGGGATGATAAGTTAATTTATCAATTAGTAAACTGACAGAAAATTAGAAACTTAACCTGTAACTAATTTGATAGGACTTCTTCACCTCAGGATATTGTCCCCTTGTGGTACAGAAAATGGTAACTGGCATTTTCACTATATTCTAATTGTTATTGATTAATCAATTAATCTATTAATGAAGAAAATAATCAACTAATGAATTGATCATAAAATAATTGTTACCCCTGTAGTATTAGCTACCAGTTGTGACCAGTGAAGGCAAATGTAAAGGGTATCCTGTTGTGATTATGAGCGATTTACTCATTTCTAGATAGTCCTCTGCTTTTTTGTCACTTTTGTGTATATTTATTAGATATTTTGAATACATTTCAATTTCAGTAAAGTGTAAATGTACTTATAGAGGTGTAATAAATAACAGTGAAGAGTCCATATGAATACGCAGAGATATATACAGCATGTGTAGCAGTTAGAGTGAGCATTGCAGGTGTAAGTGTAAATATACAGTGGTGTAAGTACAAATAATGCTAGTACTAGACATTATATAAAGATTAAAGAGCTGGATATGAATATGGTGTATACACTATAGAGCAAATATAAACAGTATGAACAGTAGTATAAATATGTATTGGTATGTGAGAGCATTAATAGTGCAGCAAAGTTTATGTGCAATGTTAAGTATATTATTATTCTGAGGTCGTGGACTTAGTGAATGTAAATGTCCTCTGTGTTTTATTGCATATTTACTACAGCTCTATTTCAGATCACAAAAAGCGTTTTACTGATATTTATTGTGTCTCACCTACTAAAAAAAACTTTATGTTGAGCTGTGACACAACCTGCAGTTCACATGTCCGCCGCCAGACGTCGCTGCCGTTTCCACCCAGAGATAAAACGTCAGCGTCAGGGTTGAAAGGGAAAAGGTCGTCTGAAACATGGCTGCCTCCGTGGATGACATGTTTTCCTTCTGCGTGGACCCCGGCAAAGTTGCCGCCTGCGTGGAAGTCCGATTTATAGACAATAAGAAGGTAAGGTGGTTTAGAGATCGTCAGATTAAATAGATTTACACAGATCTGTGGCTTCACGTGGCGCCTGGCATTGAAGCGCCGGGCAGTGTGGATCAGAGCCAGGCAGAACAGAGGCTGCTGGGCTCAGAGAGTACCGAAGGAACAGGAATAGTGTATGAATGAAACGTTTTCTGGCAGGATAATACATCTGCTAGTGTCCACAACTACCAGAAGGTTACTGATTTGTAGACTTGGTGTGTTCATTACAATCAAAAGTGAGTGCAGAAAGCTAAAGGGACAGCATCCACCATGTTAAACACCATAAAAAACTTAAAAGGATGTGATATGCCTGGAGCAAATAACTTGTCAAGCAACTGAGTTTTATCCCAAACATAAATCCGTGTTTTTTATTCTCGTCATTGCACCCCGCCATGATTGATTTAGGGGTTAACACGTTACACTAACGCTCACTTAAGGCAGTCTGTCTTCTTCCCCGCTCTCAAAACAAGGAGAATCCAAAGAATTACATTTATCTTCCTTTTTACTCTGAGGTTTATGTTGGTGGGCAAACCCCCAGGAGGAGAGAAGGGTAGTTTGACAGCTGATTCAAGTAAGTCAGAAACCAATAATGTATGTTATTGGAATTGATTTAAAGCAGTTGGACCTGAAATCACATTATTTCACTCAGTGCTGTCTGCTGTAATTTATTGCTGGTAAGAAATCCATCCATCCATTATCTTTGCAGGAATCCTGCACTTAACATCCAAAAATTCTGTGAGAGAGTTGTGAAAGAATGAGATTAAAGTCAAATAAAGTAAACACAATACTTTATAAGAAAATGTCTTCTAATGGTGAAATGGAAGATGGAGATTAAAAGCATCTCTTAGTACATTTCTATCATCTTACATTTCTTTCATCTTATACATTTCTATTTCTATATTTCTGCGACTACTCTGCTTTGACAGTTGAAACATTTTAAAGCGTTTTAACTCCTATTTGCGAGATCTGTTTGTTACCAGCTGACTAACTCTGTACAGATTCTGCTGTAGGCGGGTGATTGGTGAGCAGCAGTGCACAACAGTAACGGTTTGTTATTCGTGTTTCAGGGCAAAGGTCTCTTTGCCAAAAGGGGCATCAAGAAGGGAGACACCATTTTCTTTGAGCGGCCTCTGGTCTCTGCTCAGTTCCTGTGGAATTCTTTGTATAAATATAAAGGTAAGATGTCTCCAAAGTGCTACAGTGTCGTCTGTATTTAAATATCGACAAAAGAATGTATGTATTATCAGAACATGGACTTACTGGAATAATCTGTGTTTTAGGAGGAGTTTGAATATACATGTGCTGGTCATATAATTAGAATATCATTAAAAAGTTGATTTATTTCAGTAATTCCATTCAAAAAGTGAAACTTGTATATTATCTTCATTCATTACACACAGACTGATATATTTCAAATGTTTATTTCATTTAATTGTGATGATTAAAACTGACAACTAATGAAAATCCCAAATTTAGTATCTCCGAAAATTTGAAAATTACTTAAGACCAATACAAAAAAAGGATTTTTAGAAATGTTGGCCAACTGAAAAGTATGAACATGAAAATTATGAGCATGTGCAGCACTCAATACTTAGTTGGGGCTCCTTTTGCCTGAATTACTGCAGCAATGCTGTGTTGCATGGAGTCGATCAGTCTGTGGCACTGCTCAGGTGTTATGAGAGCCCAGGTTGCTCTGATAGTGGCCTTCAGCTCTTCTGCATTGTTGGGTCTGGTGTATCGCATCTTCCTCTTCACAACACCCCGTAGATTTCCTATAGGGTAAAGGTCAGGCGAGTTTGCTGGCCAATTAAGAACAGGGATACCATGGTCCTTAAACCAGGTACTGGTAGCTTTGGCACTGTGTGCAGGTGCCAAGTCCTGTTGGAAAATGAAATCTGCATCTCCATAAAGTTGGTCAGCAGCAGGAAGCATGAAGTGCTCTAAAACTTCCTGGTAGACGGCTGCGTTCACCTTGGACCTCAGAAAACACAGTGGACCAACACCAGCAGATGACATGGCACCCCAAACCATCACTGACTGTGGGACCTTGATTTCCAAAGGAAATGCAAAATTTACTTTCATCAGAGAACATAACTTTGGACCACTCAGCAGCAGTCCAGTTCTTTTTGTCTTTAGCCCAGGCGAGACGCTTCTGACGCTGTGTCTTGTCCAAGAGTGGCTTGACACAAGGAATGCGACAGCTGAAACCCATGTCTTGCATACGTCTGTGCGTGGTGGTTCTTGAAGCACTGACTCCAGCTGCAGTCCACTCTTTGTGAATCTCCCCCACATTTTTGAATGGGTTTTGTTTCACAATCCTCTCCAGGGTGCGGTTATCCCTATTGCTTGTACACTTTTTTTCTACCACATTTTTTCCTTCCCTTTGCCTCTCTATTAATGTGCTTGGACACAGAGCTCTGTGAACAGCCAGCCTCTTTAGCAATGACCTTTTGTGTCTTGCCCTCCTTGTGCAAGGTGTCAATGGTCGTCTTTTGACTGCTGTCAAGTCAGCAGTCTTCCCCATGATTGTGTAGCCTACAGAACTAGACTGAGAGACCATTTAAAGGCCTTTGCAGGTGTTTTGAGTTAATTAGCTGATTAGAGTGTGGCACCAGGTGTCTTCAATATGTGACCTTTTCACAATATTCTAATTTTCTGAGATACTGATTTGGGGGTTTTCATTAGTTGTCAGTTATAATCATCAAAATTAAAAGGAATGAACACTTGAAATATATCAGTCTGTGTGGAATGAATGTAGACATTATACAAGTTTCACTTTTTGAATGGAATTACTGAAATAAATCAACTTTTTGATGATATTCTAATTATATGACGCGCGTGTGTGTGTGTGTGTGTGTGTGTGAATATTTTAAAAGCAACCAGGTCTGCAGTAATGTTTTACCCCTGCTTACATGCTCTCCTGTGTCCTTTTTGTAGCCTGTGAGTACTGCTTACGAGCTCTGGAGACCGCAGAGGAGAATGCGAGGAGACTCAGTGGCATCCCCGGACTCAGCCTTCCTCACCCTGAGCTCTGCAGTGTTCGACCAGAGCTGCACCAAGCCTGCCCTCAGTGCCAGGTCAGTCCGTCAGTCAGGAAATGAGTCCACTCAAGGCTCTAGACCCCGATTTGACTCATGTTGGCTTTTGAAGACCTAAAACTTTTTCCTTCCAAAATCTTTTTGTAAAACTTCTTTTTTCACAGAAGGAAAAAAAAAACATTGATTTTAAGCCAGCTTTGGTCAGTGGAGAACTATTTTTTTAGAGACCGTTGACTATGGATCAGCCAATTTCTCTGTGTATATTTGTAATAACCAAAGTGAAATATTGAGACGGCTTTTTATCCATAGCGGTTTCTTTGTAAAGGCAAAACGGTAACAAAGTGACTTGCATGTCATTTAGTGGTGAACCCAATTTCGGTTCCTGAAGCTAATAACTTTATTTATTTTCTAGCATTTTTAATTACGAAGTGCTTCACACAAGACACAAAATCATTATATGTAAAGTGTGATTAAAAACCAAATAATTAAGATTACAAGAGCCATTTAACAAGTGAAATTAAAAAGAACAAAGGCAATAATAGCACAGAATATTAAAAAAAAATGCAATTTTAAAATAATGTGTTTTTATATTGATATTGAGTAAAAGAACCTCCTTAAGTACAACCTCCCTGTATGGAGCTTAAACAATTCCACTTGCACAAAGAGATACCACATTTGGTCTACATTCTATGATAGCTTTAGAAAATATTAAAAAATGCTTATGATGAAATATTTGGAAGCACTGAAGTTGATATTGTGTTGTAGAATGGTGATATACACTCATTGAAAACCTGTGTGTGGAAGTTTATTCAGTATTCAGATGGACAGCTACAAGTCAGATTACCTTTCAGAAAGAATAATGGATCACACAAGTAACTTCCAGATTACAGCTCCCTCATACAATAGTGTTGCGAGGTGATAAAGACCTGTGGTTTCTAATTAGTGGTTAAGAAAACTGTTTTATGGGGTAAAAAAAAAAAGTTCCCACAGAGAGACCCAAAATTTATGTGTATGTTTAATACGAATTTTCATATATTTACACCTGTCACTTGAAATGATTTTTCTTTATTTTTTGGGTAATTTTCAGTGTGTTCTAACAGAAGCCGGTCTCCCTCTGCAGGTGATGTACTGTAGCAGCGAGTGTCGACAAGCTGCAGCAGATCAGTATCACCGAGCTCTGTGTTTGGGTCCCTCCCAGGAAGATCCGGACCATCCCATCAACAAGCTTAAAGATGCATGGAGGTGACGGAGCATTTTATGGATGTTTAATTTTCTATTTTAAAATTTTCACTCACCTCAATGACGATACTTTGTCTTCCCTTCAGGAGTATGCATTATCCCCCGGAGACCTCCAGCATCATGCTTATGGCCAGAATGGTAGCTTTGGTCAAACAGGTAATTACTTTTTGCTCCATTGTTATTTGTGGTTCAGGTGTGTGCACTAATCTTGCAGGTATCTATGCAAAAAAAAAAGACAAATATTAAATGCCTTGCTGTAAAGGGACATAAAATGCTGCATGTAGTTGGATTTTTATTGCCCACTGTTCATTGTTTAAATCAAACTTTATGTTGTTAAACCTTCCTTGGAATTAACTTTGCTCTGACTAAGACAGATGTCCTATATGTCAGGCGACTGACAAAAACAGTAAGCATAATGTGATGCTCATATTCATTTGAAAAGCTGCTTATCCATATTTTTTTATAAACAATGGATGATGTGCAAAATAAGAGGGGTTGCTTGAGAATTATCACCTGATTCTGCAGTATATTGTTATTGATATTGGTTGTGTTGTCCAGGCCAAAGACAAAGCACACTGGCAGAAGCTTTTTTCTCACTTCTGCAGCCGGGCAGCTAATGAAGAAGAGGAGATTGCCCATAAGCTCCTGGGAGAGCAGTTCAGAGTAAGTCCGCATCATGTTATTTCTGCTTGAAGAATGAAATTGTGGTGAAAAATGTATAAAGTGTGGCAGGTCAAAGACAATATCATGCTCTTATGCTAATCACAGTTCTTTACAGTTCAGTAAGCAAAGCTATTATCCCCCCTGACTGAGGTTTAATTACCACTGTGGCCACATGTGTTTATGATGTATGTTTTCTGTTATGTAAAATGTCATTTTTAATTATCGAACATTGTTTCCATAGGGGCAGTTGGCCTTGTTACACAGCCTTTTCAAAGCAGCACTTTCTGATGATCATCTTAGTCGGGTAAGAAAGAAAAGCTCATAACCACTACATGTCTTTATGTAAGCAAATAATGGCCATCAAAAAAGTTATTCATATTGCTTGTTTTGTCCAACCAAACTAAAACATTTCATCACATTTTAGAATCTTGCACAAGTATATGCAAAAGCAAACAATTAAACTAGTTTCAGATTCATATTTTGTTAATTAACTAATAAATGAATCGACTAATAGTTTCAACTGCACATTAAATCTTGTTGCGCAGGGCAGCTAATTACAGCGGCTTAGTGATGAGCTTTCAGATGATGGAGGGTTGTTTTTCCCTTAAATATTGCCCTACTTATTAAATCCCTTTTAATATAAATGTCATCTGAAATTTTCCTTGTCATGCTGATGGTGTTTTAGGAAACCTCAACCACACAGGCAGTTTGTTACAGAAATGTATATTATGATATTATAATGAAGTTAATTTCTTAGATATGTTATTGACCTTGACCTGAATGTTTGTATGCTGACCTAACTGGAGAATGAATGTACAGATGGTGAATTCCTACCAGCTCAAGAGATGCTGTAGCTGACCCTGACCTCTGACCTTAGCATGAAAGGGGTTAAATGAAATGAATAATCCTCCGGTATGTAGCAATAAAGATATGATTGTATTGCAGTGGTTTGCCCCCGAGGGTTTCCGCTCTCTGTTCGCTCTCGTGGGAACCAACGGACAAGGCATTGGCACCAGGTGAACACGTCGCCTCTCTTGTCCTTAATACAGGCTTCTAACTGTGGATCTAAGTTTGGCTAAAATAGTTCTGTCTTTGTGCTCTATTTTTCTGTTCAATCTCAGTTCCTTGAGTAAGTGGGTTCATGCCTGTGATGCACTTGAGCTTCCTGCCCAGCAGAGGGAGCAGTTGGATTCTTTTATCGACCAGCTATACAAGGACATTGAGAAAGGTCACAGATTTATCTCAGTTTTGCAGTATTTTTATTTATTTATTTTGAGTAAATTATTTTTTGTCTAAACTGGGCAGATTTGCAACGGTCATTTTTTATGAGTGAGTGTTTATTATTGTCTGTTGTATTATTGGCCCAGTGACATTGCTGTGATTATTGTGTAACCTGTGTTCAGATCTCAACAAAGGACGTTTGTGTTATTTGTCTCTTCTCTCTGTAGAAACGGGAGACTTTCTAAACTGTGAGGGCTCTGGACTTTTTCTGCTTCAAAGCTCATGTAAGTGCAGATGATGTCCATGTTATAAGCACTGTCACTTCAATTCAAAGACACTGTTACTCTGGTTAAGAGGCCATCTGATGATCCCCTTTTTTCTGTCTTGTTGCGTCTTTGACCCCTGCAGGTAACCACAGCTGCATACCCAACGCAGAGGCATCCTTCCCCGACAACAATTTCCTGCTTCAGCTCAGTGCCCTTAGTGACATCAGCCCAGGAGAGGTCAGCTGACACATCTGGGTTTGGAGTGATAAATTCTGGCCCGGGACACACAGGACAGAGCATCCCTCTCTAGCTTTATGTGCTCTCTTGTCAGATGGTATTAGAAGGCTGAGACTTTGAGGATTGGAGTGGGTTTGTCAAGCTGTCAGAAAGATTGAGAAGCCTTGCATCTACGCGGCACAGTAATGTCACAGCAGCCGCGCTACTTTCACAGCAAAGCTCTCCTTTGAATGCTGGCTAAGACGGGGGGGTGAATTATTTATTTAAAGGATACCAATAGCTAGGGCTGGGCGGTATATCGGTATAATGAAGTATACCGATATAATTTCAAAAGAGAGATAAAATTAGACAATACTGTTTCTACTGATATAGTTTGATGTTGAGTTAATTATGTTTCCTGCCAGTGTTTGCTCCTCTCTCTCCTTCACTGTGCTGCCCCGCCCCTCTCTCGTCTACTCATTTACATTTTGCATTTATAAATTTAGCTGAAGCTTTTATACAAAGCGACTTTCAATCCCTATATATGTCAGAGGTCGCACGCCTCTGGAGCAACTAGGGGTTAAGTGTCTTGCTTAGGGATGGTGGACGTGTCATATTAGGGAGTTGTACACGGGTTTCTCACACCAAAGGCATGTGTCCACTGCTCCATCACTCACAAACTCTCTAACAACATGGAGGGAGAGACAGTGCTGGTCGACACTGCTGAAGACCTGGCTTGTAAAAAGGAAAAACAACGGTTCAGTCAGTGTTTCCCCCACATATACTTTATTTTGCTGGGCCACACAGGTTAGGCAACACATTGTAGCATTTTTCAGGGAAAAATGTTACGAGCACGGACCTGATAAAGCGACAGTGAACATACCAGTCAGATATCGTTCATTAGCTACCACGTTGGTTTTGTTTTGAAAGGCTACGTCGTCAACAGGCCTCCTCAACGTGTGGCGCTGCTGCTGTGAATGGAACCACGGGAGGAGAAGTCCAGAAGACAAGTGTGGGCGACTTTATACAACGTAGCTTACTACTGATGGAGACGCAGACAGGGAGGGAGAGACGGAAAGAAGCGGGGCACGCTGACGTGTTTGAAAACAGAGGTATGTTAGGTCTGTGAGTGTGAAGAGAACTGAAGGAGGCAGAGACAATGAATGACACTTACACCCCATCACTTAGCAGAAAACATGTATAATTTATACCGGTATTCAGCCTAACCGTACTGGGATATGACTTTTTGGTCCATATTGCCCAGTCCTACCAATAGCATGTTTATTGCACTAAAGTGCATTTGTTAAGACTTCTAGGGTCAATAACCTGTTATTGATGCTGGGGTTCTTCAGCAAGTTCAGCTGTTTGTTTTCTTCAATTTTCAGGAGATCTGCATCAGTTATTTGGACTGCTGTCAGCGGGACCGAAGCCGTCATAGCAGACACAAAATTCTGAGGTAAACTTCTGTAATCCCTCATAGGAATCACTTGAACCAGGGTCATACTGTTACGAATCTGGATCAATAAAAAGCCTTCCAGGCAATAATGGACAGTCTAGATGTGTCTGATGGCTACTCATGTGCTTACGCTTGTCATTGATCAACATGATGCAAGTCCATCTTTGAATTACACCCCAAAACGTAGGGCTATTAAGTTTGTTTTGTCTCTGAGTGCATAAAGTTTTTACTACATCCTGTGATAATTCTCAGCCTTAAGAAGGTGCAGTATCACTCCAGGTAGGTGGTGTGAACCTCCCCTGAGCCCCATTTGACACCAGCTGATTGAAAGTATTATTTGCACCACAAGTATTAATTACTCAACAGCACCAGATTTTCTGAACAGTGTGAAATGCTTCTGATTAATTCAGCTGTTAGAGGTGCAACATTGTGACTAGAATATTTTCTTCCCAGGGAGAACTACCTATTTGTCTGTTCGTGTCCAAAGTGCATCTCCCAGATGGATGAGCTGGATGTGACATCAGAGGAGGAAGAGGAAGAAGAAGGCGAGGCAGAAGGTGAAACGGAGGGGGATGAGATGGAAGATGAGATGACAGATGTCTGATAAAAGACTTGCCCATATTGTTCTCAGCCGTTCTCGTTCCTGCCACCACGCTAAGCAACCATGAAGCCCGGGAGAATAAGAAAACAGTCCAAACGTGTGGAAAAATGTTATCAACACATTTCTACAGCAGCCCTCAGAGGCAAGTGAGAGGGGAAAAAATTTTAGCAATCCATTTTTAAAGTCAGATCGAAATAGTTTTCTCTCCTCATCTGGCAGTAGGGCTTAGATTATAATTTTTTCCCCCCCTTTTCTTAAGTCATAAACACAGGAAAGAACTAAATTTAGACCAGACTTATGAAATGGATCACCAGAATTTCTTTTCTCACTTGCCTTCTATACATTTAAATCATTCTGTGTCCAGTTTTAGAGATCAGCAACAGGAAGCTTTTCCTTAAATGAGTTACACGTGTGTGAAGTGTGTCAGTATTAGGATACACTACAGGGACATGTTGTGTTTTGATTTTATTTTTTTTATTGTTTTCACTCTACTTCAGCACACTGGGGGTTTTAAATAAAATGAAGACTATGACTTCCAACTTTCAGGGTTTTTGACTGTGTCCATATCCATATTGGGTAAACAGTTAAGGCCATTTTACCTTCTGGTACTATGTATAAAAGGGCTGAAATATATACACAGTTCATCAAATGTGGATGTAAAAGCCTTTTAAATCCCAATTAATTGACGTGATCTTAATAACAGCCACTCAAAGTCTTGCTTTTACTGCCCTCCAGTGGTGCATGTTTTCACCTTGCTACAGTGATATACACAAAAAGAGGGCGGTTAAACACTTCTTTTTCAGCCTGCTGGTTAAGTTACACTTTAAATGTGATATGGTGACTGTGTTGGCTACCAGTTGCCAAGTTATCCAGCAGACACAGAGCAGCATTAAAATTCATTTGGAGTTGTGTTTCTGGCTGATGAATGTAAGTCAAATTCTCTCGCTCTCTCTCTTGATATCTGGATCTTATGCTGTTAAATGCTCAACTATGTTCCCCAGCTAGTTGGTAACATTAGCTGTGTGCTAGCTGCTGGAAACGACACTAATGATAGCAGCAAGAAAGAATCAAAACAGTTAAGTTGTTGGCAGAAATACTAAAACAACTGTGGGATTGTCACTACAAGCGACTTTACACAGTCCATCCATCGTGAATATAAAAATATTGATTAGAGCTCCAAGAAAGTCAGTATTCAATCCTTTGAGCCACTTGATCCTTGTCATCCAATGTGCTGGAGTACAGAGCCAAAACAAAACTGTCAAAACAGCTCAGAAGAACAGTTATTTGTTTCCTATTCCTTACAAGTCTTAAACAAGGCAAAGTGATTAAGCAAAGTTGGTTTTCAGGTGTTTTTATCCCTTATATAAGTTCCTTATATGAATATGCATACTGCATTGAAGAGGCTTTTTTATTTATATTCCATTGTAATTATAGTCTTGTCAGACGGGATGCATCCAGCCAGTGAAATATAGTTTGGTTTTTATACCATGATCTATGGGGTTAAGTTAAACATTTCTTAATGTATTATAGAGACCTTGAGTGGAAAATTGCTTTGTCAGTAACTGTTTGCCCTTTGTTGAGAACTGTATTTCAAGCCACAGTTCCACATGAGTGAAATTGCTGCTGCCCACATGAATCAATATTACAACAATGACTGTAATCACAAATCCCAATATTTTCAGTTACTCGAGAAAGATTGGAAATCCCAATTTTCTCAGTTGGCATTCAGCAAAGTGGCACAGGAGAACATGGCTTTGTAAGTCATACAAATATTATGACCGCAGCGAACATTAGCCTAACAGTTGTGGTTTTTACTACTCAATGGCATAAACCATTGAAATTGGATGTCTGCTGAGTCATTTATCTGGTTAACACACCTCCTGCCTTTGCTACAGAAGATTGTACTGGTAAAATATTTGTTCACTCATTGCATATTAACCACAAACCTTAAGTCAAATTGTCTTCCTCAATCCCTAGTTACTCTCCAGACAGCCTTTTGCTTCAGGCACTATTAACATGGCACATATATAACTAGAAATTGTATTTCATATCATTAATTACTCAATGGATTAAACTGGATATTTTTCTGTCGATGCCTGCCAGTCAATCACCGTTCACGCTGACATTAAGTGCAGTCTAATTGGTGCTAGCAGATACTAGATAAGAATGAGCCTGAAGTAATATCTTTGCAAAGTTAAGTATAATCCTCTACTTTTCCCCAGTACCTCCAGTCACTTACGGTTGACATTTCTTCATTAACCACCTCATTTTTTACTCTATCCCAGTCCCCAGACATTGCTGCACTTGCTAAATCACATGCTAATTTACCAAGGATGCACAAAAGAAAGATAAAAATGGACACATTATGTCCATGAAAGGATGCACACCTGGGACCCAGCATAGCAGGAGGCTGGACCTCTGGACACATCCTCCAGTTGAAGCGCCCCCACCAACGGCTGTCATTTTCTGAAGCCATGCCAGAATCGCTGCAGGAGCTCTGTAACTTTGGAACGTGGACTTTGGTGAGGCAGCCCACTGCAGGAGTCGAGCTCGGGCAGGCATGCATATAGGGCTCTACATCACACAGCACAGGCATTTCAAAAAGGGAAAGCGGAGAGGTCAAAGAGTCCGCCCTAAGAGAAGTGGGCCAGATAGAGGCTCATTTGAGGACTGAGAGGGCGGGAAGTGAGGCAAGTGTTTGAGGAAAAAAAAAGTAATGAAGGGCAATTATTAATATGCACAGAAAGAGTCTTTTATTCTTACAAACCAAGTACAAAACACTTCATATACATTTCAAAGACCACAGCGATCTAAAAGTGGCACATTTCTGTTACCGCCATATTATGCAGATGGAGAAAGGACAGTACTTGTCTCTATTCAAAGAGATAAAAGATAGCATCTTTTTCCAATATTTTACTGTTAATGTATTGTGCAGGAAATATGCAGTTTTACCTATTACTTGTAAGGCTGGGCAACGCATTGCTTTATCAAAGGTTTTAAAATATTTTTGCCTGTGATTCTCATGCAGTTTGGCTCCAAAATCTGTATTTTTCAGTCAGGGCCCCTATGATGTGGAATAACTAATAATAACTAATAATATCAGGATTGCAAAATGTGACTCTTACAACTAAACATATACACTTTAGGGCTCTAATGTTCACTTTAATTTTAGATGAATGAAGTTTTCAATTATTTGATGAATCATTTCCAAAAATTTTCAAGAATACCATCACTCACTATATTCAATTGCCAATTCATTTTCTGTCAATCAGCTACTCGATTAATTGAGTCATTGTTTCAGCTCTATACATTTTCATAACTTTTTTATCATGATGTTTGTATCCCTATTCTCATCTATTATATGCTATTCCATTTCAAATAAAAAATTTTTTTTTACAATTTAAGGTTGCAGTTTCCTTGATTTTTAAAAATCTTTCAGTAAGTCCTTTTGTTTTTGAAAAGCTGTCCAAGCCAAATAATTGGTCAGGTAGAACATATTGAATTTCTTCTTTGGTAAGAATTTCCAGCAACTTGCTGTTGATTTATCCTCCAAGGTTAAAGGTAGCCTTTGTTGTTATGACTTCTAGTGTGAAAGTTGTGTAACCATTTCACGTTGCATGCTCAAAGTGGGCAAACTATGAAATGGAAGCTGGTTTTTAGACCCAAGCAAACTGCCTCTGCTTGAAAACAGGCCCCATATGGAAACAATCTCCAGCCTACATTAGAGCTGTTCAGATTGGTTACCACAACGAATACCATTGCTGCCTTGGAGGGCTCCTCCAGAACTGAAGTGATGAATGACTGCTTCATGTGAAATCAGCCAACCTGAAGAAAGGTTATTGCACTTAACTCACCCTGCATAAAAATAAACACGAAAGAGAAATACAGTTTAAGAACACAAACATGGCTGCTGAGTGACCTGATGTTTGAGATTTATGTGGTTCATTTCTGCTGAAATAATTTCCTTGGTAAAAATCTGGATGTCAGATCTCTGCCATGTAGTCATCATGGATACTTTGTAGGCTGTCCAGTAACATCACATTCATCTTCAGAGAGAATAGTTTAAGACCTTAATGGCATCATGCAACCTTGCCGCTTGGCCTGAGCCAGTGGAGTAGAACAAGAAGACATAAGATGTGCAACTTGCAAACGGAGGCTTTAGCATCACAAATGAATAAGTGATTCGAATCAGCAAAGTGGTTTGCAATTTCCACCTCTCCAAACACTTAATAAATACAACGTCACAGAGCTGCAAACGTTGCTGTAGAATTTGAGAATTTTTTGCAAACAAAAAAGTGTACACAGATTGAAGGACAAGTAAGCCTACATCATTGTTGACTCTGGAAATACTGAGCTAAGTATTTTGTGTCTGAAATCTCGTTTCGAAAGCTTTTCCAAGCACAGCTAAAAGGCTGTGGGTTTTTCATTCTCGCATGGGTAGTTGAGTTTGTGTTCTTTTCTTTCCCTCCCTCAGCGGTGGTTTGAGACCTCCAGGACGTGTACATTTTATTTTCTCAAACCTCTGAGTTTGAGGCTTGGTCAATGAAAATATGACCATTGTGCTATATGTGAAAGAGGTCAACTGTGATGAAATGCAACTGCCTGGATGAATTCTTTCTCTAAGGTCAAGCCAGGCATTCCCACTGAGAGCAAACATGGTCTGACTCATGTTGTGCAAATGAGGCATTTGAAACACTTTGGCTATTCAGTTTTATCTCTCACTATCTCATTTTCACATCTCTTGCAGGACATTCAACACATCCTTGCTGGATGAGGCTAATGCTTTCTTTTGGCTGTGGCATTTCAAAACCGGGGATGAGAAATAAGCAACAGTATCCAATTATGTGCAGCTTATTCTTGCTAGTCAGAATCATAAGCATTCAAGCAAGATAGCGGTGCTAGATAAGACACTTTTCAATATCAAGTGCTACTCTTACATCTTGTGGGCAGCTGGTTGATGGACTGCTCATCATGCAAAAGGTCACATTCGTGAACCAATTACAACAGGAATATTTTCATGCAAAAAACAGAAATAGAAATGAGATAAAACAATTGTGTCATTCAGCCAGTTTTTTCACTTAGTTTTATGAAAGCTGATTGAGATGACTATCTCAACTATATATAGGCTATAAAAATATAAACAAAATATAAAAAATTATTCAAACAACATAATTCAGCAAAAAAAAGTAAGTTTCAACGACAATTTTTTAAAGAGAGTTCTGTCCACCTGATCGAAGGATCTTTTCAAACTGCAAATCAGTTATCTCAGTTTGACACCTCTTAATAAATCCAGAATGTCTCACTGAGTACCTGTATTTTTGCAATTTCCACCACAGTAGGAAAACATTTTTAATTTTAAAAAAATCAGGAAATTCGCATGTCTCCCTGTGAAGAGAGTGGCACTGAGAATAGTTAGAGATAGACAGAGGAAGCTATTTTGGGTGTTGATGATGTTAACTTCCTTTTTTCAAATGGTGGCAAATAGTAGCTGCTCTTACTGATGCCAGTGAATGCAGTTATAATTCATTAATTTAAACAAATTTGTCCAGTCAGAATTAGAGCTGACAACTAACTAAGTTATTTACATTGTTGATTAATCTACCAGTAATTCTCTGGATTGATCAATTAATTGTTTGGGTAGACTGATAAATTGAGGATAGAGACACTATAGGACATTATATAACATTAACTCTAACATAAACTATACAATGATGATGCCCAGTAATGTACTATAGATTAGTGCAAGTGAAATAGGTAATGCTAACGACTGTACAGTAAAATGCAGGAGTGTCTGTAAAGTCTATAAAATGTCACATAATTATGAAAAATGTATATATAAAATATAATTTCCCAGAGCCCAAGATGAAAAATGTCCTACCAAACAGATCACAACCATGATATATTCAGTTTATCATCATATCGAACAGAGGAAAATTCTCACATTTGAGAAGTGGAAACTATTAAATGTTCGTCATTTTCCCTTGAAAAATAAATGAAATGAATATTCTGTAATAATAAATTGTTGATTTTTTTGTCCATTTCGTAATCGATGAATCGTCTAATCATTTCAGCTCTAGTTGGAGAGTCAGTATCCTTTTGACTTTTACATATTGATCACTGGCCCCTGTTTTGTGAGCCCCTAGAGGATTCTGTCTTCCCATCTATCTGATAAA